CCCCCCGGTACCGCCCCCACCCCGGTACCGCCCCGGTGCCATCCCTGGTGCCCCCCAGTACCGCCCCCTCCCCGGTGCCGCCCCCGGTGCCGCCCCCGGTGCCGCCCCCGGCCCGGCCATGGCGTTCCCGAGGCCGCGGCCCGCCCGGCCCGAGCTGCCCCGGCAGCGGGTGCGGAGCCTGCAGTGCGGGCAGGGAGCGGTGCGGGCCGCCCGCTTCAACGGTGAGACCACGGCGGGGGGGGGGAACCGGGAAAACGGGGTTTGGGGGGGTCCCGGGGATGGGGTTTGGGGATGTCGGGGCAGGTTTGGGGGTCCTGGGGGGTTTCGGGGAAGGTTTAGGGGTGCTGGGGGTCCCGGGGCAGGTTTGGGGGTCCCCGGGCAGGTTTGGAGGTCCTGGGGAAGGTTTGGGGGTCCTGGGGGTCCCAAGGCAGGTTTGGGGGTCCCAGGGAAGGTTTGGAGGTCCTGGGGAAGGTTTGGGGGTCCTGAGGGTCCCAAGGCAGGTTTGGGGGTCTCAGGGAAGGTTTGGAGGTCCTAGAGGTCCCAGGGAAGGTTTGGGGGTTCCAGAGCAGGTTTGGAGGTCCTGGAGCAGGTTTGGGGGTCCCAGGGAAGGTGCGGAGGTCCTGGGGGTCCCAGGGCAGGTCTGGGGATCCCAGGGCAGGTTTGGAAGTCCTGGGGGTCCTCCAGGGCAGGTCTGGGGGTCCCGGGGCAGGTTTAGGGATCCCAGGGCAGGTTTGGAAGTCTTGGGGGTCCCCCAGGGCAAGTTTAGGGATCCCAGGGCAGGTTTGGAAGTCCTGCGGGTCCCAGGGCAGGTTTGGGGGTCCCAGGGCAGGTTTAAGGATCCAGGGCAGGTCTGGGGGTCCCAGGGCAGGTCTGGGGGTCCCAGGGCAGGTTTAGGGATCCCAGGGCAGGTTTGGGGGTCCCGGGGGGAGGGGGGCTCATCCCATTTCCCGGGCAGGGGGTGCCCATCTTTGGGCTCCCGTTTTTGGGGAGTCACCGCCTTTTCCCCCCCCTCAGCCGACGGGAACTATTGCCTGACGTGCGGCAGCGACAAGACCCTGAAGCTCTGGAACCCCCACAAGGGCACAGCCCTCCGCACCTACCAGGGCCACGGCTACGAGGTGCTGGACGCCGCGGGGTAAGGGCGGGGAGGGGGCTGCGGGGAGGGCCCTGCCCTGGGGGACCCTCCCACCCCACTCCCGGGACCTCCCCCCGTGTGTGTCCCTCCCCCCCAGGTCGTTTGACAACAGCCAGATCTGCTCGGGCAGCGCGGACAAGGCCGTGGCCCTTTGGGACGTGACCACCGGGCAGGTGGTCCGCAAGTACCGGGGGCACGCGGGGGTGAGCCCCGGGGGGGGGGGGGGGGGGGG